CTGCGTGCGGGGGGCACGTCCCACTTCGGGGCGTGCTCGCCTCGCGCGCGCGGCCCGAGCTGCGGTCCTGCGAGCGGAGCAGGTACCGAGGGGCCCGGCCTCCCCGCCCGCGTTCCAGCCGCAGACGCCTTCTGCACGGGGGTGGGGGGTGCGGGCGAGCAGGCCTCGGTTTCCCAACCTCCCGGCTTTGTGGCTGGCTTTCCCTTTCGTTCTGCGCTCTGACTGTTTACTCCGGGCCACCTGGGTAGTTCCTTTCCGGGTTGGGAGGGAGCGCCCGCAGCAGTTGGGACGGGGACGGTGGGTTCGCGCGAGTCGGCTCGGGCTCGCCTTGGGGTCGAGCTCGGGAAGGAGTTGCTGGCTGGAGAGGGGAGGGGGCGGCGGCGGAGCTGGCGGCGAGGAGGAGTCTCAGGGCTGCCGCGCTCGCCTCCTCGCGTTCTCGTCTCCTCGCCGCATCCACTCCAGGCTCCTTTCTGAGCTGGCACTTCCATTTCCCCCTCCTCCTGGCATGCGAAGCGCTTTGTTCAGTGCAGCGTTGCAGAGGGGTTTTCCCAGGCTCCGCCCTCCACATTCATTCATGTTTTTTCTCCTTGTAACTGCCTTTACGCTTTTTGATCGTGTCATGTTTTCGCTCCATGTAGTATTTCTTTCTTTCCCGTAAAGGAACGGTTTATCTCTTGTCCTAGTCGCTCCAATGCGGCTGTCTTTGAAAATGCCTACTTCCCTCCCACAAGGATTTAAATATGGAATGGACAGCTAGGGATAGTGGCTAAGGCAGCTAAGGGGGCAGCAGGAAGCAATTAGCTATTGGGAATTTACGTATTTTACATTTATGCTCCGGATCGTATGAGATCACGTGATTGGATTACAGTCGGAGTTCACGATTTAAAAACTTACAAGTATCGTGACCATTTTAAAGCTGCCAGATTGCCAAAGAACGTAGTTAAGCGTTCATAAAATTTATTTGGCCTAAACATCTCTCTGTACATTCACTTACTGAACTAGAAGCTTCTTGATAATGCTTTAGTGCAGGGAGTTGAGGAACCATATATTTCGTGGATAATTTTGCACGGTGCTAGATGAAATACATAGGTGCCCTGGTGGCGCAGTGGGTTAAGCACTTGGCTGCTAACCAGAAGGGGGGTGGTTCGAACCCACCATCACCTCTGAGGGAGGAGGAGAGGGAGAAAGATGTGGCAGTCTGTTTCTGTGAAGATATACGGCCTTAAAACACTATGGGGCGGTTCTCCTCTGTCCTATAGCGTCGTTGTAAGTCAGAATAGAAAGGTTTGGTTAGATGAAATACATAGTATTGGGCTCTCATTTCATATTTTCTTCATGCAAGTGAAAAAGCAAATACTTTGTGCCATGCCGTTATTATATAGCCATGCCAGCATAAAATAATAAAGTTAATGGTATTTTTTCTTTCTATTCTTTTCTTGCTGTAATAAAACTATAAATTTCTAAAACCTTATATATATTTTTTCCCACATAGGCTGTCTTGAGGAGAGCTAATATTTGAGCATTTTTATGTTGCAGGCAGTGGGCAAAGCACATATATGTTTGGTTTAATCTTTATAACAACCTGTGAGGTGGATACTATTATTTCTTTGGCTTACAGTTGGGAAATCTGATCTTCAGAGAGGTTAAGTAATGTGAGTATAGTCACACAGTAAGGGATAAAGCCTGACTTTGAACCCAGTCTGGTTTGACACCAAAACATGTAGTTGTGACTACATATACAGCCTCTTGAGAAAAACCCTGAGTAGGTATTACTGTCTCCACTCAGGACGGAAGCACTGGGAGTAACTGAGTCACGTGGTGCCACACGCCTTAGTTGCTGACGTTGGACAGACTACTTAATCTCTCCATGCTTTAGTTTTCTTACCTGTGAAATGAGTGAACGAGAGCTACCTTATCAGTTATTGTTAGGATTAAGTTAGGTAATATGGAGGAAGAATATAGGCACACAGTAGGTGCCCAGTAACTAGTCTCTATTTTCTTCTGCTGTGCCAGATCTCACAGTTGAAGGTTTCAGGCAAAGCACTGGTATCCCATTTTTGCGTTTTTGTTTAATAATTAAACATTGTTTTCTGTTTAAAGTCGTCATACTGGGCTTTGCTTATCAGCTTTATTGCAGAAGGTTAAAACTAGAATTTCAGCGCTAGGATCCTGGAGAGTCTTGTGGAAGAGAAGGAGATTGAGCTGGCTGATTTGGAGAGAGAGGTGATTCGATTTTGGATTAAAAAAAAAAAAAAAAAAGCCTATTGTCAACCTCATGTGTTAGAGAATAGAACGGAACTCCACAGGGTTTTCTTGGCTGTAATCTTTATGGAAGCAGATTGCCAGGCCTTCTGCAGTGCCTCTAGGTGAGTTTGAACTGTCAACCTTGTGATTAGTAGCCTAACACGAACAGATTGTGCCACCCAGGGACTCCTTGGATTACTATGGCTTTGGTATATTGTACTTGAGGTTACTTTTTTTTTTTGAATATGTAAGTCAGGACAGACTAGGTTATGCTGCAGTAACAAACAACTCCTAAATCTCAGTGACTTAAAACAACAGAAGTTTCTTTCTTGTTTATGTTACAAGACTGTGGTAGGATAGCTGGAGCTCCGCTCTGTGTTGTCACACTCACTGTCTGGGACAGTGCTGGTCCCATGGCAGAGGCAAAAGAAAGCTCTGGGGAGATCTTGCTTTGATAATTCAATGCTCCAGCCTGGAAGTGATGTGTGTCTCTCCCACTCACAGACTGGTAGCCAGACTAGTCATACATTTCATCTAAACAGAGGGAAGCAGAAAGTGCACTACTACTATGCTCCTGGAAGGGTGAACTGGAATATTTGGGGAGCAGCATCGATAGCAACCCCATGTATTAATTGAATTAACTCTGTAAAACAAGATGAATGAATGAACATACCCTGATCTCAAACAGCTTATCAATGGACAAACATGTACTGTGTATAGTGTATTTATAACCTGATGCTTTACTTTAATTGTAGTCGGTATATTATTTTGAAACAGTGAAGTTTTTCACTCTTCTCTGATAAGAATACACTGACTGTTTTCTGAATGAGAAGGCCCAGTTATTGGCAGAATGACGTCCTATCATTAAAAGTTAGGAATCTATTGTAGCAGTGCCTCCCTTAATTACCGTTTCTTGAATTTAGGTTTATGCTTTACTAAGACATAACTTTTGAAGACAGTAAAATGTATTTTTTTGCTTTTTCTCCCCCCGCCCCCAGCACATGGATTAATTGATGTATGTTGAGTTTATGGCGCTACTTTCTTGTGACCGGCTCTTCCTAGACTTTCTAAGAGGAAGAAGTTGCCCCTGAATCAAAGATGCCTCGAACTAAACAGATTCACCCGAGAAATCTAAGAGGTAAGGCTCTACATTTTCTTTTTCTTCTTAACAAAGAAAAAAAAAAATCATTAAGTAGAAGTAAGACTCAAACTAAATCTTATGATAAAGAGTCTCTTTGGTGACGGGAATGGCAGGATTGTTGGATGTTAACGCTGCTCCATTGTAAGGTCCGGGGCACTAGTTCATTTCTCTCTTCACTACCACTTGCCCTGAACCATTCCTGTCTGTTAGGAGATGCTTAATAAATATCTATTGAATGAGTTAATTGAATTTGACAAAATTACAAAGCCTTCCCAACAATTCATTGTGGTTATTAAAGCCCAAGATCTGCTATTTTTTAACAGGGACATATTTGGATTAAGGACCCTGAAATGAACATGATGGTCAAATGTTTTTTGTTAACTGGTTCACCATCAATTTTATGTTTAGTTTTTCCACCCGTTCCCATACTACTGCTTTTGTAACTTATTTCTGTACTGCTCTGTATGTTAGATTAACCAGGTAAGAAGTGAAGAGAGTTGTAGTTGATATATATTCAGAACTTGGAGGCAAAGTGACCTATTTTCTAAGAGAAAGCAGTGGGGTCAAAAATACGTATACATAACACATTTCATACAAAGAAAATGAGTATTTTCCATCTAACTGTGAAGAGGCATTTTAATACTTGGAAAGTAAGCTTATCTTGGCTTATTTTAAAAGATTTGTATTGTTTTAATAACTGGGAATAGCAATTATTTTTTACGTTTCACGCTAGCAGAATAAGAACGTAGCAGTGCTCAGCAGTGCACTGATAAAGCAAACAATTCCAAACTGAGTCAAGTATTTTATGAAATATTTACCATCATGGGGAAAAAAAACTCAAACACATGCAAGGTAAGAAATGACTTAAAAACCAAATAAATTAACCAAAAATAGTCTTTGGAGAGATTACATTGGGCCAGTTACCGTAAAACGGTATCTGAAAACATGATCGATTTTGTAGCCTATTTGAATCTGAAAACAGTGCTTGTTTCCTGCCTAAAAAGCAGGAATTCTCAGCTGGCATAGCTACCGCCTTGTCCCAAGTTCAACTGATGATCATAGTACCAGTGCTTAATGATGTGAGAACTTAGATGGAGAGCAGTAAGTGTGGTGTGTCGAAGTCTGATTTTTCAGTCCTGGAAAATGTGGAACATTGAACGTGTGTTTGCCTGTCTCCCTCCTTGAAGTAGGGGCTTTGTCTCATTTGCTGTTGTATGCAGGGCCTTCACACCCGAGGGTGCCAGTCGGGGTAGGCATTTGGAGCCCTGGGCCCTGCTTTCATAAGTCATCTGTCCAGAGGGGGCACCTGGGTCCAATATGCACAAAGGCAGCATATAAGATGCTAGCACCTGTCCTAGGCTAGCGCAATTCCTGGCAGCTAATAGGAGCCCCGATATTTGTTGAAGGAGTGAGTACATGATTGAACTGAAAGTATTGTTCATTAGTTCATAAATATTAAATGTTCTTCATATTAAAATGTGTGCTTTATATTCCAGATAATGTGACTATCCTGGAAAATACAGATTTTTAGGTCATAGACTCTTTTCCTGTCTGCATCAAATAAATGCTCAACTCACCAGGCGCTGGTTGAACACCATGTGCCACTGTATTGGGCGTCAGGGATAAAATGAGGAGGGGAGATAGTAAGATAAACATACAACTGCAGAGTTGTGAAGACTTCACAGAGCTCGGGGCGATTATGTGCTGGTTGTGGGGGGGTGGTGATTCAGGGAAGAAAAAGTAATACCTGAACTGGGTTTTTAAGGCTGAGAAATTATCCAAGAAACTGACAAGATAGGGTGGGCACTTGTGCGGTAACTTGGGACCTGAGGGGCTCTAAGCTGTTCCCCATTACGAAAGCGTAGGAAATTATATTCTGGGGGGAAAGGAGGGGGTAGGAGATGGGAGCTGCAGAACTAGGAGAAATCAGATTTATCAAGGTGTGTCCAATCTAAGTCTGACTTTAGTGTGTAGAGTTAAAAGTTTTCATAGGAGAAGTAGGTTCTTTTCTGAAATTAAGTTGTTTTCAAAGAGAACTTGAGATTAATTGGGTTTTGGCCCGTCAGTGAGAGTCTAGAAGGCTGCTTGACTAAGACAGGCACTCATGTGAACTGCCAGCCGCTGAAGAAAAGGTGGGAGTAGATTAGCAGAGACAGCACCCCAGTGCCTTGTCCGAGGGACCAACAGACTCTCCAGGCTCTGGGGAGGAACGTCTGCGGGGGATGGGAGAGGAGGAGTGTGAGCCACCTTAGTTCACTCTGGAGAGAGGGATGACAGTGAAGCTGTTCCGGCTTGGAAACATGGAGTAAGCAAAGGCACAAAGGCAAGAAAGGCGAGAAAGCGTTAAGGTATAATATCTTTAACATTTCCACTTTCCTTCTAAACATGTATTTGAAGAATGTGGTTGTTAGCTGTCCTTGAGTCGACTCTGACTCATGGCGACCTCATGTATCGCTGGCATGTTTGAGGCCATTGGTGCAGCTGCGATGCCAGTTCATGTCGCCGAGGCTCTCCCTCACCCTTGCTGGTCCTCTGCTTCACCAAACATGATGTCCTCTTCTAGCGATTGATTCCTCTTGATGACATGTCCAAAGAGAGTTGGACGGTGTTCTGTTGTTATCCATAAGGTTTACATTGGCTAATTTTCAGAAGTAGCTTGCCAGGTCTTTCTTCCTAGTCTGTTTTAGTCTGAAGCTCTGCCGAAACCTGTCCACCATGAGTGACCCTGTTGGTATTTGAAATACTGGTGGCATAGCTTCCAGCATCACAGCAACACGCAAGCCACCACAGTATCACAGACAGGTGGTGGTTGAAGAATCTATCCCTGGGAGCTAAAATACGCAGGTAAACATTAGCTACTAAAATTAATTTTTTAGCATTTATTTTAGGTTTCATAGTAACGATTTGGAGTATCATATTTGTTTTGCTCTACCTGTGATCCCCTGCATTGGTTTCCAGAAGACATGTTTAGTAAATGAATGAAATGGGCAGAGAGGAAGGCAGGAAGCCAGGGAGGGAGCCAGCCCAGCTTGCTGTAGTGAGTGGTGCTCACACCGCTTATACAGTCAGATCAGGGCTTCCATTACACCGGCACCTCTTTTTAGGCTTTCTTGGAAAATAGTTTATGAAATATTTGGTAATTAAGTCCATATTAAAAGATTTATATTTTTAAAAACCCTCAAATGACATGTTTCTTATGCTTCCATGGCAGCTTTAACTGTTAAAATAGAACTTTCTTGGATTTATCCCTGGCTCTGCAGCTGGGGTAGACAGACCCCTGTGGATGTGCAAAGCCACAGAATCAACATAGCGTAGCTTTCTGGAATGGGAATTTTACTTTGGGGGCAATATGTATACCCATGTATGTGTCTCTGTGTGTCTCTGTGTGTGTCTGTGTGTCTGTGTGCACGTATATGTATTAAAGCATTATACAAGGATAAAAGAATGCAATATAGCTATTTATTATGGAGGAGTAGGCCTCGTTTGCATGTGTTTTAAAATGACACGTGCACAGGTTATGCTTCTCCAAGGAGATAGCGTTTACCCTTCTCTGCTGTTAGAGGTTCTTTGGTAGGGAAGTTGGAGAAGAACCGATATGTCAAGGGCAAGAAATGAATTTGGGGCATGATCAAGACAGAGTTAGACCTGATAAATGGTCTGTACAATTTGTAGGACTGGGTCTTTGATGAATTCTAGTCTCTTCACCCTTGGCTGTATAAGATGTGTAGAACCCTGGTCTTTGGTGCTTGTTGCTCATCTGCAAGATACAGGTGGGTAAAGTTGCACAGTGACACAGCCTTTGTGAAGTTGCGTAAAAATGTCTGGGAGAGTATGAGTGAAGGATGGTGTTCAGGAGAAAGGTGTTGTGTTGTCCCGGCTCATTGGAGAAAGGCCTGTTGGCCATGGAGTGTAAAACTCCACGGCGAGTGCTCCCTCACAGGGTCTTAGAGAATGGGTTCCCAGCCATCATTCCTCACTGATCACTTTTTCCGTGGAGTAGTGCGTCCCCACCACACTTTTCTCGGCCCCTCCGGTAGCATGGAATGGGGGAACCAGTGACATGCAGGGGTCCTCTCAGGACAAAGGGTTGTTTTTGTGCTATGCCAGTCATCACTGAGAATTTGTTTCAAAGCTTTTGAAAAAAGAAAGCAATGTTACCTCGTCTGATCGTATTCGGCCATCGGCTTGCAAAGACTGGTTGTCTACCTTAAGATTGGAAACCACTGTGGCAAATACTAAGTATTAACCTTTTGCAAAGCATATTTTGAGATTTTGGTGTAGCTGTTTTTCAGTTTTATTGACTGAGTGTATTTGGCTCTGGGAACTTCTTTCCCTTCTGAAAGCCAGCTTTATTGTGATGTTAGGAAGGTGATCGACACGTGAGGTCTGTGGACAGCCGTTGCCTCATAAGCTGAGGTCCCACGTCTGAGCTCGGCCAAGGAGACTTCCACAGTTTGGCCTTTTTGTCCTCCACTGAATCTGCTGAGTAGTCATTTGCCATTGCAGGAGCTCAGCGTGCAGACCCAGCATTCTGTGCTTGTTCTTCTTTCTGGAAGGTGTTCCCCCCATTTCTACTCTGTTTGCCTTCTCTGTGTGGGAGATATCTCTGCCAAAGATTTCACCTCTTTGAATTTATTTTTCCCTTCTTTCTTTTCCCCGTGTTAAAAGCCATGTCCCCTCCCCCCACCCTTGACACACTGCTCATGTCCATAAAAAACAACAACAAGAAACCCACACCATTGCCACTGAGTTGGTTCCAACTCATAGCGAGCCTGTAGGACAAGGTAGTACTGCCCCATAGGGTTTCCAAAGAGTGGCTGGTGGATTTTAACTGCCAACCCTTTCATCAGCAGCCAAACTCTTAACCACTGTGCCACCAGGGCTCATGTCCATAGTACTGAAAATATATTGCATCTTAACAGATCTATCATCTTAGCTGGGTTATAAATTCCATGTCAAAAGCAACTCTTCGTCATCTGTGCACTCAAAAAAGAATA